AATATTTTTCGCAATTAAAACCTTTAAAAGTTCCTTATACATATAATCAGTTTACGTGTTCTGTATTCGTTCAGCACTCTAATTAACGGCCACATAATTCTGTGTGTTTAATGAATCTAAGCACGGAATGAATTTGGAACACTACTCTTAATGTTACCTGGTAAATAAATGGTGGTATGGTAATTATAATATATAATATAACCGCGTGACTTTTGTACATTATTTTACCATTTTTCTTTCTTCAAAACCGGAAATATAAATGTAATGTAATTATTTCTTTGACTGGTGTTCAAGTCAAATATTTATCAAATTTGAAATTAATACGACGTAAAATAGTTAAAACGGAAGTAAATGTATAAACCTTGCCCCAAGCTAGGATCTTCTCCTGTATCGTAGGTGTGTTTACAAACATACAAATTCACATACATATCACACCCAGACCCTTTTTTGTCAGGGGAAAATCATCCTATGACACCTACCTGCCCGGTGTAGGGCGAGGGAAAGTGTCAGATTCTCACTAACTAAAAACCCCCCGTTCCTTCACCTGTTCTGGGCCGAGGCCGCGGTGACTCATTGCACTTAACCCGTAATCCCGGACAGACCTGGAACAACAATTTGTGGACCACACAAAGAGTTGTTCCTAGCGGGAATCAAACGCAACATCACGTTGCAATGCTGACTCCTAAGTAAAACCCTCTTCTCACACGGAGTAGGTTTGAACATTAATCACCACGCTTGCTCAAGGCACATTGGTGAATTAGAAATTAAATGTGGAGGATACCACACCATTATTTTATGGTTTGTCAGTGGCGTCTAAATAATCACTAAAACATACCAAGTTAAAAACTCTATTACATTAACAATAAACTTCAAAAATAACGTATATAAGCACTCTACCGTACTCCAAAAGCAATAAAACCTCAGAAATTATCGCCGATTAAAAATCTTGCGATTAAAAGTCGCACGCGCAATCATCCCAGCGTTTACTTTATTACACTTAATTAGGGCGTATCGCGGTTTTCACTTCCGAGCTTATTGTCAAAGAAATTGCCACCTTATTGTTTATTGTCGAAGGTTGGGATTTAGTTCGCGTCGGTAGTTTAGCACAAAGTGGCATGTGCTTCGAATGGTCTTGTGTTAGGTGTGTGTCGACTGCGAGCGATCAGCGAATGTGTTTTGTTATTGTTTTTTTTTTTGTTTCGATTAAAACTAAAAGCGACTCCTCATTTTTGGAATTCAATTAATAATCGAATATATTACACGGTAGATTTTTTTCGTATATTAATAAGTTGTCTAGTAATTACTTTAGCTTTTATGGTTTGATATGTATAAAACAAACATTAATAAATAATTATGTACAAAAACTATTCACTACAACAACGTTACAAAAAATAATATAACATACTATCTGTTAACAAAAAATAATAATATATTTTGCTACCGAAAACAATCAGCGTTTCCACGCAGCAAGCAATTTCAACAAAACGCCGTCACTTAAACCCCCCTACTTTACGTGTCATTATCATCATAACCAACCTGTAAGATAATGTTGAGTATTAATCAACATGCTTGCTTAAAGCGGATTGACTTTTATTGTAAATCACTGCAAACGAACTTTGAGATTCTCGACACGTACTGGCGTCCGCATCAATAAATGGAATACATCCAACAATTGCCAGCCCGGCCAGCCACCCTACGGATATCGTCAGTCCACCACCGGAGATCGCCCTATACTACGTTTCCAAGTTTATCCTCCTGGACTAAACAACAAAAAATACTTTTTTTAATTTAGTAAATTGGATGACTAACGCGTTGAACCAAACCTATTTGCCTTTAACGAATTCATAAAAACAAACAAATCAATTCAATGCAAACAGCAAATATCGCTAACAATCACACCCTAACCTTACGTGTAAATCGCTGTATATTGAACAATATTGACTGCAATCTGTATTTACAGAGGTTTTATTCCGATCGTAACTGTTGCACTGACTCTGTTATACACAAAGCGATATTGCTTGTGTTGTATGTTTAGATATTTATGTATAGATAACTAGATACATAAGTCTAATTCGAACGCATTCTCCTTAAATAATAGAGCGCCATGACTTTGTATGAAACAAGAATTGCACTGGCACCCAAGTTCAATAGCACACCGCGACCCCGGCCCGGAGTAGGATAAGGAACATGAGGAGAAGAGTGGGACAGCCATGCTTCGGCTCGAACGGAGTGATACCACGGCCTCACAGAAAACCGGCGTCAAACAACCACAGCGTTGTGTTTCTGAAGATGTTGCTGAAGATGCCGTTTTCAACGACAAAATTTGGACCAACGGGTGAGACCAGTATCATTTCAAAGACTTTTTTCTTGGCATAGTCTTTCTTTTCCATAATAAAAAATATTTCTACCAACCAGAATTCAGTCATAAATCTGGTGATTAAGATTTCGAATGCTAAATACAAAGATTTACAGGTTTTAAACAAGAAAAACAAATTGTCGCCGACACTTGACTCATTAAAACGGTGCAAAATTACTCAGAAAGCGGTTCATATTTGTAAAAGGAAGCATCAAAATAAATGAATTCGACAACTTAAGCCCGCACTTATAAGGGAATTTGATACTTAAGTGTAATAAAAATAATGACCTTTTTCCCATAAAATGTACTCGCTAAATATAGGGTGGTCATATTAGCAGTATAAAGATGAGATTTTAATGTTAAAATAATACTTAGTGCTGAGCCAGTGACTTTATCTGGTAACCATGGCAACGGGAATCGATTCCATATAATGTCTTGGCTCATAGCATTCCTGATTTGAATAAAATCTTTTATGAAGTCGAACTTCGTACTTGAGTTCATTTTAAAAGTACCTAGTTAATGGAAAGAATGGAATTGTTTTCACATTATTATTTTTTTAAACCATTGACCGTCTCTAATGTCCACATAAAAACTTACCACACCCTTGCCTACAATAAAGCTAATAAACCACCACAGACGGGGCCCAATAGGGCTGATGTTCAGCCGGGGTTGCGGGGTAACCGCAATGAGGCACCGCGACCTCGGCCCAAAGCAGGAGAAGGCACGGGGGGGTTTTTAGTCAGTAAGGTTTTTTTTGTGAAGGGAAAATCATAGGGGATGATTTTCCCCTTACAAAAAAACCCTTACTCTCAGGAGATCTTTGTTCAGCATTGAGTTCATATAGGCTGATAATGTATGAACATGAATAACGAAATAGAAAATTCTTAAAACCCATTTCCTTTCACAAGATCTTTCACATCACAAATTGTATTGAAATACTAGCCAATTGTTAAGTGACTCCTTTACAAGTACCTATCGGTTGAACATATTATCTCAGAAGTGTTTGATCGTCATAGAGTTTATTTAATGGTTCGTAAATGTCTGTTTGACACTCATATAATTTTTTTTATAACGTAGGTCGGTAAACGAGCTCACAGATCATCAATTGTCTAGAAATCAGCGTCTATCGACATAGAGGAGTTATGAGTGTCTGAGTGTGTTGCCGCAATTTTGGACACTAGGGATTGTAAGGATTCAGGGATTTTCGAAATTGAGCATGAAGGTAGCGGGGATTCATCCTCCTACAACGTCACTCACATAGCAAAACACAATGAATGCGTTGTTCCACAACGGTTTTCTGTGAGGCCGTGGTATCTATACTTAAGTCAGGCCGACCCGTTGTACCGAAGCATGGCTCTCCTACATTTATTTTCATTTAAGACCCTGTATCTATATTAACTTAACGAGCAATTAATTTGCATTAGGATTTTGGAGATTTTGGGATTAGGGGAGGAGAAGAATTGGGTTTCTCACTCACACGGCAAAACACAACACTGTGGTTGTTTCACGCCGGTTTTCTATGAGGCCATGGTATCACTCGTGTTGACCCGACACATTTGTGGCGAAGCATGGCTCTCTTACATTTATTTTCATTTAAGACGCTGTATCTATATAAGTTTAACAAGCAATTAAAGAATTTGTGTTTGTATTTTTAGTGTAGTCCAAAACAATATTAATGAAAAAGTGCCTGCCTATCTATCTATCTATACACTATTAGCAACAATAATATGTTAAAAATAGAAATAAGTAAGAAACTTTTATCCTTATGAAGCAGAGTCGTTTTCACGTTGTACCCACTATTGGGCGTATCGAGTGCCAAATGCCATTCTTTGGGAATTCCATTTGGCGCCTCCTAAAATATCAGTTTCCTTTTACGTTTGGGTTTTATGTATAAATGCCTTCTCAGTTTCGAACTAAGAGTGTAGGCAGAAGTTAAGGTATTAAAGGCAGAATGTATTATCGTGCCGTGGCGCGTCAAAGGTCAATTTTTCATACACTTTCGTAAAAGTAACTGTAAGTTTTATTTTATTATTAAGAACGTTGCTCCACACTAAAAAATTCTCCTGTCTCATGGGTGCGTTTACAAACATACAATTTTACATACACATCATCCACATCCAGTGCGGGAATCGAACTCGCGACACGTTGCGCGGCAGCCATTTGCCCAGCGACCGCGCCAACCGTGCAGTTAAGTCAACTTATGTGCCCATCAATGTTTGCGCGCGATTGGACACGTATACAACTGTTCAGCATGAGCCAACCAGGCTGATCACCTCATCTGTTCAGAAGATCCTTCTTTTCCGATCTTCGGGAACATTTTTCTCTGTTCCCTAAGCGGTTGGCATACACAATATAAATAATAAAAGTTATCAAGTAATAGACTATTGTGGGGCCCCACATTGGGCACCACTTGTGGGTTCACTTTGAGTTTGGCGCGAGTTGTTCTATAAAGTACTCGAGTCAGAGTGCCAGTCTATCCACTCCACCATTAATATATTGACGCTAGTCCCGTAGTCCGTAACACGCGCGTAAACTGTACAAGTACAACTGTTTTGTTCGATTAGTTCTTAATAAACGTTTTTGTGAGTGTAACTTTAACACTCACACCAAACTCAAAGTGAACCCCACACTATAGAATACTCACATAACTCTTTCCCAAGCACCCAGGTTTCTGGTTTCGAGTTGACCTCGACAAGTACTGTCGGCGTACAAACAAGCAACACCATCAAGTCCGCAATACTCAAGTTCACTAGGAATATGTTCGTCGAATTCCTCATATCTTTCGTCTTTAGTATCACTATTGGTACCATAACATTCCCAATCACACCCAAACACATAATCACTATACAAAAAGTCATCGATGTTGTTTTTATGTAATACGGTATCTCATAATCCGTGAAATTTTCGTTCGACATCGCGAATGTCGCATTCGAGAAATTCGTCTTCGCGAATCCTGAGTGCTCGAACTCCTCCGTTGATTCGTAGGTGCAGTTGTGTGTTGCATTTTTGTAGCTGTATGTTATGTTTGTGCAATCGTATTGTATTGTGTTCACATTTGACGGTGTGTGTGTAAAGTTGGCTGTTGAAATCATGTGTGTTTCAATTCATTATTTCACATTGTTGTCCTTCGGTTAATTTTGTTAGGTCGCTGACATCTTTCGGGTTATCTGTAACAAACAAAAAAATTTTTTAGTCAGTCTTAGTCCAGGTTACTTTTGCGATGTTTTTCCGGCACCATATAAAGTGATGTACAAATAATCTTTCAAAATACTTATAATAAACAAACCCAATTGGTTCTGAAACTCTCTTGTTCTTCCAAGCCCGTGAGGCACCTTCGGGCAACCACGACACAATCTCTCCATAATCAGTCATAAACTCATATTTGAATAATGAATTCTAACTAGTTAGATTCCATGTTTGCTAAATGGGGAAATGTAGACTATAAAATGATGATGATACAATAATATGACTTAATAACATATTATCTTCACAAGTCCTTGATCTATTCCAAGACCTTCGTCTTTCCTAATTAGTATGTATTCTAATAATTAACATTCATCTAGTTACCAGTGTTTATATTATATTCGTTATTGTAACCTTGAAGTTTCTAAGGCCTCGTTTACGCACACGCGGGAACGCCTGCAGTGCGTCTTGAATTTATCGTACGTCGATGCAGCAGACCACCCATGGACACCCGTAAAGCAGAGGAGTGTACTGTCGGCCTATTGGGTATTAGGCTTTTGGAGATTTGTGGATTAAGGGAAATAGGGAAGGGGAGGGAGGATAAGATCTCCGTTTACCACAGAAGTGACGTGTGACTGACGAAGTGGTCGGCAAACGAACAGACGGATTACCTGATGGTAAACAATCAGCGCCGCCCATGGAAACTCGCAACGGAAGAGTAACGAGTGCGTTGCCGACCTTTTAAGAATTAGGGATTTGGAGATTTAGGGATTGGGGGAGGGGAAGGATTGGGCCTCCGGTAATCTCACTCACACGGCGAAACACAACGCTGTGGTTGTTTCACGCCGGTTTTCTGTGAGGCCGTAGTATCACTCCAGTCGAGCCGCCCCGTTCGTGCCGAAGCATGGCTCTCCCACGTGTAATGTCACAAACATCCCATAAATGCATCACTAATCGCGTGATGGTCGCATATTTTAGTTTTCAGTCAAGTCGCCGCCTTAGGTAAGAGCCAACAATAATAATTCACAATATTCCTAGAAGTCTGGTTCACAACAAATTTGTGAAAGCAGCTGTTTCACTGTATTGTGTAAATAATTTAATCTCGAATAGCGAGCTGTTACGTTTTGGAGTACCGTACAAACTTTCATTTCCTTTGAGTCCTTTTTTATAAATTTGGTCCTTGGAGACGAATTTGGTCCTTTGTTTAAACTGCACCGTATTAGTTTCATTAAGCCAAAAAAATATTTTGTTTCAATTAACGAGCAAGGATGACCGCTGGAGTAAACGTGTTCTAGAGTGGACACCACGTCTAGGCAAACGTAGTGTAAGGCGCCCTCCAGCTAGGTGGACTGACGACATCCGCAGAGTGGCTGGCAGTGGTTGGATGAGAAGAGCTCAACATCGAGCTCAGTGGCGTGCAATTGGGGAGGCCTATGTCCAGCAGTGGACGACAACAGGCTGATGATGATGATGATGAACGAGCAAGGCATCGAATAACTGGTTTTTAGATTGTAAGTACTATTTGGTATTTTTATTAGATAGGTCCTCCATAAAACGGTAAACAATCAGTAACAATCGCCCTTAGACATTCCCAATATCAAAGGAACTACAAGCACACAGCCTGCAAATAAAAATTGTAAGGTCGTAAGAAAATTGGAACTGAACAATTGAAAATGGTGATTTAATTAATTTTGAGTTTCTTACTATGTCCAGGTCTTCATAATCTAAGTTAATAAGTTTGTACTTAATAATAATATTCAGTTCTACTTCTCTGAAGAATCAACTTTCCAAGTTGAAACCATACTAAGGTTGTTAAAAAATAGATACTCTAATAAAAAAAATAAGTCACATTATCTTGCCTTTGAAATATCACATCTAATTTATAATATGAATACTTCTCATACTGGCTCACCGCACATACATCAGCAGTTCCAACCTAATTAGAACTAGAATTTACCTAAAATACTGTAGTACTCAAATGAAACGTTTAAATTAGAAAATTCTACAGTAAATTACTGTTGGTGTAACCCCAAAATGACGAAGAGGTGTTATCATACAAATTAGTTTGAAAATTTAACACATTACAACGGCGAAATTCATCTTGCCGAAAGGCCCGTCGTAATCTGCGAAGGCCGCGGAAGCGTTTTAGGGTTGTTTATATTTAAAATTTGGCTTAAATTTTCGTTTTATTTATTTACATTGTTTGTTTTTTTGGACAATTACGAGTAAATTAAGTAATGGATGTTATATAATCTAAAATATTAAGTATAAGAGAGCCAAGCTTCAGCACGAATGGGAACTTGTTTTTATGTGATAGGGGGCAAATGAGCAGACGTGTTATCTGAAGATAAGCAATCACGTCGGCCTGGTCACCCGCAACACCAAAGGAGATACGAGTTGCAGTGCGGCCTTTTGAGGATTAGGGTTTAGGATTTCAAAGATGGATCGGGAAGGGACAGGATGAGGGGAAGGTTTGGACCTCCGGTAACCTGACACGGCGAAACACAACGCTGTAGTTGTTTCACGCCTCCTCAGTGAGGCCGTGGTATCACTCCGGTTGAGCCGACTCATTTATGTCGAAACTTGGCTTTCCCACACTCATAACTAAATTGAGTTATAAATTAATCGTTTTATATTTGAAATTGGAACCATTTGTGTAATAAGCGTAGGTATATGCATATGTAACCTTTTTTGATATATTTATCCATTCCGTTATTTTTTAATACAAACAAAACTATTTCATCGCACATAACTTTTTAAGTATTTAATCATAAGGCCTATAAACGCATAGGTAATCTAGTAAATTGTGGAATTACTGATAGAGAATAATACAAGACCGTTAGCAACGTAACTTGTTCAATTTAGACAACCGTCTATATTGAGGAAACTTCACCAAACACATTACGTAAGTCATTTAGGTAAAATTTTAGCGATTATGTAGAGGGTAGGTAGTATTGTCGATTAGCTGAATTTGAACATGGGATATTTTAGTTAGGTATACACCAGGTGGCTTGTGAAGAAAGTGTGGGAGAGCCATGCTTCGGCACGAATGGGTCGGCTCGACCGGAGTTATACTACAGCCTCACAGAAAACCGGCGTGAAACAACCACAACGTTTTGTTTCGCCGCGTGAGTGAGGTTACCGGAGGCCCAATCCTTCCCCTACCCCAATCCCTTCCCAAACCCTGAATCCCCAAAATCCCAATCCCTAAAAGGTCGGCAACGCACTCGTAACTCCTTCTTTGTTGCGGGTGTCCATGGGCGACGCTGATTGCTTACCATCAGGTAATCCGTCTGCTCGTTTGCCGTCCTAACACATAAAAAAAAGAGCTGAACATCGAGCTCAGTGGCGTGCAATTGGAGAGGCCTATGTCCAGCAGTGGAAGCAAACAGGCTGATAATAATGATGATATGTAGCTTAGAATTCTCATCATCAGTCTATAAGTGCCCACTGCTGAGCAAAAGGCGTTTTCTCAAACAAAGTAGCTTCGAGCATTATTCCTTGCTCAAGGCGCATTAGCCATTTCAAACTTATAATTAGTGGTGTCTAAATAATTATAGAAAGTACGTGTAACTCGGAAATAGTCCCATAAGTAATAATTTTTTTGCGATAAAATGAAATTCTCATCAGTAGTCTATAAGTGCCCATTGCTGAGCAAAGACCTCTTCTCACATGGTGTCAGGTTTGAACATTATTTCTTACTCAAGGCAGATTCGCGACTTCAAACTTATGATTAGAAATTATAAGTCCAGGCTTCCTCACGATGTTTACCTTACAATATGTCGGTGGTGACTATATAACCATGTAACTCGGAAATAGTCACATTTGAACTAATTTTTGATTTGAGTTTTTTTCATCCAGTAATGAAAAGAAAGCTGGTTAAACATTAGCGTATCTATGTTATCATACCTACCTAACACCCATTAGCCAGTTTTTCAAAGGAAAATCACACGTCATCGTCGCCTATCTAACTTCAAAGAATATCTTCCCATAATGACAGTTCCGTTCAAACACCCTTTAAACAGATTAGCAGCAAGATAACCTCTTACTGTATACAGGATGCCTCAAAAAGAGCCATTAGACCACCACAGACGGGTCCTTAAGGGCTGATGTTCAGCCGGGGTTGCGGGGTAAGCGCAATGAGGCACCGCGACCTCGGCACAGAGCAGGAGAAGGAACAGGGTTTTTAGTCAGTAAGAGTCTGACACTCTCTCCTGCCCGGCCCAGGGCGGGAGAAGCCATTTGATGATTTTCCCCTCACAAAAAAAAACTGTATACAGGATGTGCAAACTAGATTTAACGAGCCCAGTTAATTTCAAAAAGATGAAACGATAATATATATATATGAATTTATGTGTGTATGTATGTATAATTAGAAATGTGTTGAACACTTCTTTAAGATTAACATCTTACTTGTTTCCGCTGTAGACCTTTGATATTCATAAATTGTTAATTTTGAAAAGAAATTCGTATGCTTAGCTGTCACATCTGTTTTTCATTGCAACGTATAAATAGATCTGTGCATATCATTCGTTTTAAATTAGTTTTTTTACATTAAGGCTGATTTTTCAATGGTTAGATAAAAGTTGTTGCGTCAGAATGTTTGTATAAGACAGTGACAGCAACAATTTTATTCCTCAGATAACATTTATCTGACTATTGAAAAGTCAGCCCTAAGTGTCGTGAAAATATATAGGTCCAGAGATTTTGAATTTAGAACAGTTTGTTATCGCGGTACAGGTTTCTATAAAAATGCGAATTGTGATTGATTTGTTTATCAAGGTCTAAATCAATAAAGTACATTTTTGAAAAGAAAGAATACAGGTTTATTATAACGTAGGTATATGTAACTGCTCACTAAAACAAAATTTCGAAAATGTTGTTAATTAGGTTTTTAGACTTTTTGATATTTTGCTTATGAGTATCAAGTTACATTAAAACCAGTATTATTTTTTTATAATTTTAGACTTGAAACCTTGTATTG